TCATTTTTGTACCTCTCTGTTCTCCATTCCATACTCTGCACTGGGCAGCACTGGGGCTTCAAAGAAAATGAACTGTGGAAACAAGAAGATTTAGGCTTGAATCTTGGCTTCCCACTGTCCAGCTATGTAATGCTAAAAGCCTCCATAATCTAAATGATATCCTTTTTGCTATTCTGTGAAATGGAGGGATGCTGATCTCCATTTCAATGCTGATCTAATAGGAGTTGTGGGGAAAATTATCATAGTTCTCAAATACTGGTCTCTTCTTTCCTACTTCCTTGATATGCATTATTTCTGAGTTAATGACATTAACTTACACACAAAAAAGGTTTTTCCTCTTTATTTAGAAGTCAAGAATTTATAGTAAAGACTTAATCTAATCAAAATCTGTGAGCCAAATTATGCTAAGATCTAAAATTTAGGTTTGTTGAAATGAATAAGTAAAAATCAAATTGCCTGTTTCTCTAAAAGTTGCTTGTCTTACCTGCGAATCTTTTAATGTTTGGTATTTTCAGTTCATTCTGTAAAGAATTTGTTTCCTCAACTGGCATTAAAGTCTATTGGATATCTTTGAAAGTCTGGTCAGAAAACTATTTCCTTGAAATAACAGGCAATGCTAGCCTTAGATCCCATGATTGTGACATCACTGCTCCCTGGTGGTGATGTACCCAAATTGCAGGAACATCAAGGAGGTGGGGGGGGGAGGAGAGGAGAGAGAGAGAGAGAGAGGAGAGAGAGAGAGAGAGGCCAGCTTTCTGAGCCCAATTATAAGCATAGTTTCTCTTTGGTTGATTTGCTACATTGCTCGTTTTGATTGACTCCTCACATTGCCCGTTTTTCCCTCTTCCACTCCTCTACTCTCCCTCTTCCCAGGTATTGATTTCTTGCCCAGGCTGGCCTCCAACTTCTGGACCCAATTGATCCTCCTACCTCAGCCTCCTGAGTAGTTGAAACTACAGGTGCTTGTCACAGTGTGTGCTGTAAATGTGTGCTTTTGCTGTCAATGAGAAATGAAGAACCAGAGGGCCAAGAACATCCAATCATGTATGTTCAAGCTAAATCCTCTGGACATTAGAATGTGAGGATAGTACATCTTCCTCCTTGCAGTCAACAAGAGAAATTCTATCATTACTGACATCACCACAGAAGGATTAACTTCCCGGGCCCCTCAGCATCACCCAGACTCTCTCCAATGCACCTCCACACTATATACTGGCATCCTCACTCTGTCTTCAGCAGCCTCCTCTCTGAGCAGCCTTTGACTGTCTTGCTCTATTGGCACCCACTTTTCTGATATTTGTCTTAGGTGATGACTCCTTTTTCTCTCATGCTCCACATACCTCAGAGCCTCAAGGTCGGATAGATCTTCTGGCTACCCATTGCCTGTTAGTGATTTTTTTCCTGCCTCATCTTTTAGAAGCCCCACTTCCTTTAATAATGTTCATGCCCAATATTCTCTTAAAGCCCTCTTAGCCTCCCAGTTACATCCATTGTTAAGATTGGTACCTGCTTTGCTATCTTCTTCATTATATGCCTGTAATATTCACATGGGCGATCCAGCCAGTCTTAGGCTCTTCATTACTCAACTTCATCATCTCTAATTACCTTCCTTCCACTCCACCTCACTATCAATTTCCTTGCTTAAACCACTAATTTCATCTCCTCTGAAGTATCAGTCTTCAACATTCTTCTCTTTGGTACACCCTACCCTTCTATCTCATTTTATTGTATTATCATCACTACAATAAATTTTGATCATATCAAGATGACAAATACCTTGACCCATAACATGTTTTACTATCCATCACCTTTATCTATGGAGATAATAGTATTGGCCTCCTTACCTACATCACATTCCTTCTTTCTTACTCCAGTGGGAGATATGCCCATACTTCACCTGTGATTCAGATCCCACTCCCAGCCTGGAATTCTCTCCTTCCTCTCAAGCATTATCAGTTTCTCCTTCTCTATGGGTTTTTTGATTGTCAATGAATGTGTTGTAATACCTCCTTTCTTTATCTACCTTCTTTTGATCCTACATACACCTCCAGCTATTGTCTCTTTTCTCTGTTCTTCATAGCTAAATTTCTGTTCTCCTTCATGCAAAATTTATTGAAATTTACATTTACTTGAAGCCTCTGCTTCCTCACCTCTTATTATTTCCTCAACTCACTGCACAGAGGTTCCTTCCTTCCACTGAAGCTACTCTGGGCGTCAACTGTGCCCCACCTGAGGCCAGTGTGCCACACAGCTCAACACTCTGTCTTCAAAACCCTTTCCTCTCTTGACTTCCACATGTTGTTTTCAAACACTTTTACTCATAGACCCTCTAAAAGGATTGGTAAAACTTTGTAAACACTAACACACTTTTAGAATTGACATCTATATTTTTTATCATAAGTTTAAATAGTTGCTAGGGATAGAATTTCCAGTATTTTATAAATATTGACATCTTAAAATAAAACTCTTATAACGCTCTCTTTAATTGTGCACAGTGGAATCTAAATACTGTAGAAATTTGATCCCTACCATAATCCATTTAGAAAATAATTTTTCAACAGAAGTTTTACATTGTTCCCTTTCCCTTAAGTTTATATTTTATCCACCATTCCCCACACAACTTTTTCCCAATATTTATCACTCTACTGACTTCTTTGCAACTAAATTATGTTTTCAGATCAAAATCAACCTTTTAAGTCATCTATAAGACTCTAAAGTTAAAACATTTCTTTTAGATTTAGTTATCTTTAGTTATTTTATTTAATACACTTCACCAAAATGACATAAATAGTGTAGATTACAAATTTTGAAGAAAAAGTATTAACCTGAAAACATAATTTTATTATAAATATAAATTCTTGTGAGTTGGCTAGGGTTCTACTATCCAATTAGTTCATTAATTCGCTACTCACTATTGCTATTTACAGTTCAACATCAATTCTCTATTTTCTCTTTTTAAAAGATGTAAACTCCAAGACAATATGTTTATATAAATAAGTAGATTGAAACTTTATCATAGAAGTGCCGATCAATTGTTCGAATTTCTTCGGATTTATGTATTCCAAATCATAGATTGATCACAAACAGTATCTCCCAAAGATCTACTTCTGAACTACCAGCTCAAATTCCAGTTAGACTCACCTAAAATTTTGTGCAAAGCAAAAAACTAGACATCGCCTAACTCACACAGAAGTAGCGCCTCATAGTACAATATTAACTTCATCAAACTGGCACCAGTCTTTCTAATCATTTCTTTTCTTGTGCCTGAGATATTTTTAGACTACAGGGTACAGTGCTACAGTAAGATCTGAGCAGATGAAAATGAGAAATGGGTGATAATGAAAGGAAGTTGGGGTGGAAAACATCTTACCTTTTCTAGTTTTGTTTTCAGGAAGGTGAGTTTTTAGAGAAGGACATTTAAAGTTGGTGTCACTTTTTTAAATGGTGCCTCTGGTTTTCCTCCTCAGTCCCTTTGCTGGCTTTACCTCCTCTGCTCATCTCTAGACCCTGCGTGCCTGGCCATCATTCCAGAGTCCCCCTCCTTCTTTGGCTATCTCTGCCCTGGGAGATCTTTCTCAGCCTCAGTGCTTTCAGTACTGTCCATAAGTTGATGCTCCAAACTCATACATCCACATGCCCTCCTGACATCCCCCCTGCAGCTCAAATTCCTACATCTAATTTCTGACTTGATTTCCTGTGTGAATGCCTTATTGGCATTGCAAACTAACCTTGTCTAAGAAGGAATTCATGATTCTTTAACACTATTTCTCACCAAACTCTTGTTCTGTAATCTTCCACACCTGAGAAAATAGTACCATCATTCTCCTAATTGCTAAATTCAAAAGCCTAGGTGTTATTCTTGAATTTTGTTTTTCATCATCCCCCATAGCAAGCTCCATGATGCTATGTTTAAAACAAATCCAAAATCCATCTGCATCTCTTCATCATCTTCACTATTCTCTAACCTGTGACATCATCATCCTGGCTCATCTGGAGGTCTCGAAACCTCCTTGCTGGTCTTCCTGCTTTCTTTCTGCTACTTCCCATGCAAATTATGCACCACAAACCAGTCAGTGTCATTTAATCTGCTCATGCCTGTCATCCCAGCTACTCAGGAAGCTGAGGCAGGAGGACTGAAAGTTTGAGGCCAGCCTGGGCAATTTATCAAGTCCTTGTCTCAAAATAAAAAAATAAAAGGGGGTGAGAGGGGTAACTCTGAGGAAGATTGTTTCCTAGCATGTGTGAAGTCTTGTGTTCATTCCCCAGAAATGCAAAGAAAATACAAAAAAAGATCTTTTAAAAATGTTACTCTATTGCCTGAAACACTAAAATGTTCCAATTCTATCTGAATCTAAGAGGGCTGTGTGGTCTGGACCTTGCTTGCCTTTCTGGACCCAGTTCAGTGTCTTGTTTTGCTCCCTCATTCACTCAGTTCCAGCCACAAAAATCCTCGTCCTTCTATACCTGCCAAGTTTGCTTTTTTTTTTTCTCTAGCATTACCATCTTGTTTTCCTTCCTCAGTCCTTACCTCATGTAACATCTTTCAGAGCCCTCCCCTGACTGACTTCCTTTAGCTCATTAACAGATATTTTTATGCAGCAAACATCTTATTAGAAATGACTTCTATCATTTTATGTATGTAAGCTCTATGAAAGCAGAAGTACTTCCTGTCTTTTTTATCCTCCAGTTACCTAAATGAGTCAAACACATAGTAGATGCTCAATATATATGTGTTGAATGGGTACAGAAAACTTCACTGTTTGCTACAATTTTATTTAAGTACAAGAGCATGGCCCTATAGTGTTCACAGGAGAATTAAGTTAGCGATCCAGGCAATACATGAACATGTGAGAAATTATTTCATCTTTCTATCTCAGTTTCCTCATATATGAAATGAAGTTGATTTATAGGATTAAGAACTGGGACTAATACAGATAAGTGACTGGCACCCATTAGATTCCCAACTAATTGTAGTTGTAGAGATACTTTTATTGATACTGGTCTGTCTGTCACATGGGCAGTGACAGAGTGGGGTGGGGTTACAAAATCTTGCTTCCTTCTCCAAGGCAAGGCCAACTCAGGGGAATCCTGCCACACCAGAGTAGGATGGGCTAAAGCTCATCTCCACTAGACACCACCTCCTTCCCCTTTTCTCCTCTGATGACTTCCCTCTTTGATCATTCCTCATAGCAGCAATACCTTGATAAATTGCAAGGAGGAAATCCCTGTCTCAGGCTCTGCATTTGTGGATCCCAATGAGGCCAGTGGTTATCACTCTTTGTTCTAGTAGAAAACATTTACAAGCTTTATAACCCTGGACACTACTTTTTCTGGATACTTAAGTTCATTAGTTATATTTATTTACTCATGACAAGAACCACAGGTAGAAGTGAGACTTTTTACATCTCTGTATTAATTTAATGATGATCAGGGGAGCAAGCTATAATGAGCAGAAGAAACAATGGGAGGGAGAAGTGGTTGTATTTTTGATTAGAGAAATATGGGACAAACTCTATAATTTAGAGGTTGAAGCCTTTCTGGCTTTTCATGATTTATGAGACTGAAGTAGGATG